CCGTCCTTCATAGTTCCCTCCTCCACTCTGACTCACAAATGCTCCTCCTGCCATCTCTCCGGAATTATTCAATCAAGAAGGAAAATTGAGAAAAGGAGTTGGTATTTCGTAGTTTTTGCTGGCGCGAGACTGGGGATCTTTATGGTTAATGTTAATGGTTAGGGATCTCTAAGACAAATTTCCCTAAAAAGATACTTCATACCCCAACCCACTTCAGAAAAGAAATGTAACTCCTTCCTTCTCTGCTCAATCCTAAGGAAAATTTGGCTTTATATAAGTTTTACAGAGGCCTCTTTTAGGACTTCAAAATTGAAATTTTCTAACAAATTTGCTAAAGAATAGGAAACTTTTATCCTTAATTTTCGTGTTCTTTTTACTATTTTTGAGATTGAAGGTCATAAATTAATTTCAGTAAAAATGAGGATTATTAAATTAATGAATTGCCAAAATTGTGGTGTTGGTAGGAAGTCAAAGAAAGCAAGAGAGAAGGTTTCAAAGTACAATTAAAATTAAAGCCTGAAATTATGAGGTGTGTTGGAGACAATGTCTCATTAGCATTTTTTTTTTTTAAATAGCAAATGTTATTAATAGAATAAAAGAGTTACTTCTAAATCTTTTAAAAGATACTCTTCAGTATAGTTTTAAGACATTGAGCCATACGTGTACATATATGTCCTTATAGTTAATCCATTGAGTAAAAGAAAAGTAGCAAAACTTCACTCTACCTCTTAACCTGTGGTGGGACCTCAATTACATTATTTCAGATCGGACATTTTCCTTAATAGCTTTTCCATTGAATATCAATTCATTAACGTATAAGTCTTTGATCATAAAAAGAGAAGACATGCATCAAAGAGGCTGGTTGATTCATTCGATCCACTCATTGCCCTCCTTTATTGCATAAAACAGAGGAAAAGTAGATTTAATATTTGAAAAAAAAACCTTAATTTTTTTAAAAAAATGGTGAATAATATATGGAAAATGCTTGAGGGGCTGAACTCCCCTGAAGCCAACAGTAGACCGAGGGATGTGGCAAACGTCCGTTCATCCATTTCCTTTTGCTTCTTTTTATAAATATTTTAATATTTGGTCTTTATATATAGTTAACAAATCAAACTCATTTCAGTTCTTAAATTTCTAGTTTTATGATTTTAGTGTTTGAATCTTAGTTTAAATTTTTTAAGGTTCACTTGGGGTTTAAATTTTTGCTGTGATTAGTGTAGTCACAAATTCTGCAAAATGTATATTAATTTGTAAAATAATAAATAAAAATTATAATGAATTTGAAAGAAATGAGAAACAACCTCTAGTTTGGAGTGGTATAATGCACATGCTCGAATTTTAAACAGTGGGACATCCTAGAGCAACACAATCCTTTTGATTGACAACTAGCTTTAGAAGGGTAAGAGCTTAAACTTGATCTTGCCTCTGAAGGGATTTGAGATTTATCTTTAAAACTTTCCTCCTTGGTAGGGATTTGGAATTTACCCTTGGCAAGGAGTTGAAACCTTTCTTAACAAGGACTTGGAATTTTGAGAATTGTCGAGGAGGTTGAAACTTCCTATTCCTCTCTTTTTCTCCTTCTTCTCTTCTTTCCTTTTTCTTTCAACTTTTCTCATCAAGTGAATAGCCTATTTATAGCTAAAGGAAGCTTGTCAAATGACCTCAAATATCCTTCACTTTAAGGATAATTTAGTCATTTTATAGTATTCTAATTAAAGAGAAAATATCTATTCAAAGATTTTACCACCCAACCTCCAAGATTTTATACTAAGGTAAAAATATTTTAATTTTAACACATTTTTTAATGTCTACATTTAGTTTTAAGGTGTTAGGATTTAGATTTTTTAAGGGTGAAATCCAAAAGGTGTTAGGGTTTATTACTTATGGTGAGTTAGGGTTTAAAATTTCTACAATTCAGTACTTAAGGTTCTAGGGTTTAAATTTTATAGGGTTAAATATTTAGGATGTTAAGGTTTAGACTTTTTTAAAATTCAATGTTTTGGATGTTAGGATTTAGATTTTTTTTAAAGATTTAATATTTAAGGTGTAAGGTTTTAATAGTCAAGATGATAGCATTTAGATTT